CTTACTTTTAACAGCATCTCTTCTAGACAGGATTAATGAATATCCTGGCTGGTAGTTTCTGTAACAGGTGAAGAACCTCCGTAAGACCTGCTTTTTTTTTGGAAAACTGGGCTTCTCAGCGTCAAAACCCAGCATGAAAAGCACTTCCAGGAGCACAGTTTCTCCTGCAGCAGAAGCCACAGCCTGGGCTTCCCCATGCATCCACTTCCTGGGGAACTCCAGCTTCCCCTCTGGGGGTGGTTGCTTTCCAGATGTACAGGTCTGAGCCTGAGCTGTAGATAACATTGCATCTGCTGAGACCATCCAAACACTCTGAGGTCCAACCTTGGATAAGCCCACCTACAACTTGCACCCACTGGAAATCATTCCTGCACCGGCACAGACATTTGGCATGGGTGGTACCCCCTGAGAGACCCTCCAGGGCGATGGGCTCTGCCAGTTTGGAGTTTTCTTGGGCAAAGCTGTCCATGTTTAACCTTCCTAGGCAGCCTTTCCGACTAAGTTGGCGTATACCAGGAAAGCAGAGTATACAATGTGCTCCCCTCTTTGACATAATCATAGGCTGTCCCGGCACCGGAACAATTTAATGAGTACCTTAGGATGGGTTTTGCTGTCAGGTCATAATACCGCCTTTCACAAAAGCTCTTGCTACTGTCACCACCGCTATGTCTGACACTGTGACAATGTGATGAACCCCCAGAGCTCTTGGTAGCGGTGCACTGATATGATAAATATATCTATTCAACCTGCAATAGCTGTGCAGAGGAATATCCTCTCTGATGCCCATTCCTTGGCCACTTTTTTAGGACAAAAGATTGGGGAAAGGTATTTCAGTACTCCCAACACAACAAGGGCACACTGTGAGCCTCCTTACTGATGTTTATGCAGTGCTAAAGCTCTGGTGATGCCATTGCACTCCCTCAATAAGCCACAGGGGTTTCACAAGAAGGTTGAAGCACAGCCTTGAGAGAAAGGAAGGACGTGAGTTGAGCCACAGAGAGAGTCAGGAAGGATCATGCTGTCATGAAACCCAGACTGCCTCCAACAGCACTTTTTTTCCTCAGCAGTACGAGAACCCAGAAACCCAGAGCAATGTTTTGGGTTTTCTGTGAAGCTCGTGCTAATGGGAAGCGCTTTGAAACTCAGTCTGGTTTTGGGACATCTTGAGGTGATGGGCCAAGACCTCAGAGACATGCTGAAAGGAAGAGCTCAGAAAATGCATTTGCATGAGACTTGAAGAAGAGTGCACATGGGGTGGATGGCAGAACCATGCTTCCTGGCACCCAGAGATACCCCTGTCATGACATGGGCTAAAAATACGCTGATCCTTGGGTCTCTATATGGAGAAATCTGGGGCTGACTCAGGTTGGTAGGCGAAGGAGAAGGTAACTGGTGAGACCCCGCAGTATGTTGCAGGGGTGTTATGCAGAGCTGTGTGCCCAGCACGACCAGGGAATTCCCCAGCACAGGGAAAACCTCAAGCAGAGCCCAGCCCTCGAGCACAGCCCAGCGCTGTCACGGCTTCCAGGCCGGCTGCTGCCCTCCCCAGCCAACAGCCCAGCACACAGCATCGCTCAGGCACTACCAAAGCCTCCGGCATCTTTAAGGGACACCACAGGACTATGCTGAGTAGAGGTGGAAACCAAACCCTGGGGTGGATGAGCCCTGTTTGCAGACTCAGCCTTTCCTCCTGCCTCCTCCCTTCATGCCTGCACCTGGGATTTTCACTGCTTGGGTACATTGCCAGCCTCACTACATTCAATTACTCTGGCTGGTTTTAGCTGTTCCCGTTGCTTCCTTTCAGTTAGTGACCCCTCCTGCAGCCTCCCGAGTAACAAGCTGCTTTTATTATTATTATTATTAATTATTTTGGGCATTTGGGGGACTTCACCTGACTGAATCAACACCGCATCATTCCTACAAGTACTTGCCCTGTGTACGTGAATGGGTAACACATTGATGGAACAGGCTGGACCATCTGACAGCTGAAACAGGAGAGGGCTGAATCAATTTCAAGTCTGGTTTTAGAGCATTTATTCCTTCTCCACTGTACCACACATTTGCAAAAAATATCTGTTCAGTTTTCATACAGAAATCTAAAACTTCCTCACCACTGAAAATCAACTGTTTTTAAGTACTCTGGACTGCACTGAGATATTCCAGTGGCAGGAATACCAAGATTTTTTTGTGTTGGAAAGGCTAAACTAGCAATACTAATACTTCATGCTACGTGTTAGGACTACCCTCCTTCCTTGGTATTTGGAGGTGGGAAGATTTGTGGTGTAGAAGGGAAAGACAGTTAAAGCAAACTGAGCATGAGGCATAGGAATGCAGAGAGTAAACCAAATGATCCAATTTTTTACTGATTTGTTCAATGAGTTACTGCAAGTAATTTTCCCCTTGTGCTATTTATGGGGTTTCCCTCTCCTGTATGTTACCACGGTCACTGTGGTGTAACATAAATTTGTTTAATATAACCCATGAGTGGCACATACAGACACAGATGTTACTTCAGAACCACTACACTCGGGGAAGATTTTCCAAAACCTGCACGTTAAAACTTCATGAAACAATGATTTTTTACTATAACACTAATGGGGCCTCCTTCAGAGAAGGGCACAATACTGCTGCTCAGCCCCACTGATACTCTGCTCCTCTTGAATCTCCAATTAGGCTTGAGAAGAAGAAATAGATGGGTTTGGTTCAATACTAGAATTAATTAAAATAAATCTAAGAGATTAGGAGCTCAAGAGGGCAGTGAAAAGTATACAAAAGTATGTACTTATTGCATTTAGTCCAAATGTTAACTTCCAAAAAAAAATATTCTGCATTTTCCCTATGTGACTTAAAATTGGTAAAAGATCAAACCTCTGCAAGTATTTACTTCACAATAGCAATGTAACTTCTTCATAGCCTAATATATATGCAACATACTACTTGAATCCCAAAAGTGTATTAAAACTCTAGGCATGAGATGCCCAGAAATTTAACTGTGTCTGCCCATGCTAACTTTTTTCCTACAATACAAAACAGAAAAACGTTTTACAGAAACTCTTAGCACGAATGAAGCTGCCCTCCATGAAGTGTTGAAGTTACTAACAACGAAGTAAAAATACTCATAGGTGTGTTTTAGACTTAACAGACCGACTGATTCACAGCTTTGGGGAACTTCACCTGGTCTGTCCGAGTGGGAAGCTGAGAGTAAACATTTATCACAACCCAGCAGAGTGTATTCTGACTCCAAGTTGTATTTAAACAAAAAAATAAAGACCTTTTGCACAGAGAAGAACAGCCACAAACCAGGATATTCTTCTGCTTTTGGTGTTTCATGTGCTTGCAAAGCTCAGCAGTGACTGTTGATAAATCGCTCCTTTTTACCAGCAAGTTCATTATATTGGAAGTAAACATTGAAACAGTACCTTTTATGTCATATACCAGCTTCTACATTTTGCATACTGAACAAAATCTGACTACATTCCTGAAGGTAGAAGTAAATTCACTGATTTTTTACCCATAGAGCTTCCTTTTACAGAAACAACTCAAAATGCTTCTAAAGCTACTCTTAACCTCAGGGAGGAAAAGAGGACCAAAGAATTAGACGACAGTATTTCTGTAAGCAGCAATAAGCCAAAATATAGTCAAATTTTAGTGTAGAGAGTACTGTCACATACACAGTATAAATTAATTTATTCTTCATTTGGCCTCATGACTCTTGCTTGGATTTTTTTGTAGCTTCTAGTGAAAATTTAAAAGCACCATTACATTTACGTGCCACTGCTAACAGTAGGTTTGGACCTCTTGTAATACTCTTTATTATTGTAATAGAGTAGTGTAATAGCACTCTTATCAACATCCCCTGCTTCCTAGTAGCAAACTCCTAAGGAATATTGTAGAACAGATAATTTCTTTCCTTTACAATTGCCTTTAAATATCAACACAGAGACTGGCACTGTAACAGCACTTCTTCCTTGCTGCAGTACAATGGCAAAATGCAGTGATGCAAATTAGTCATCTTCAAAGTAATCTAAAATACCTTCCATGAAACATGGATGTAACAGTCATTAACAGTTCAGCACTTGTCTGGTACTGGATGGAGAGTACTTTTAGAAAAACAATGTCCCAAGTGTTATTTTACTACACTGTGAACTTGCACTGAGTCAAGTTGCATATGTGTTTTTTAACATCCCATACACACACACAAACACTATGGTCTCCTAACTGATTTGAAAAGTTGGATTTTCCTTGGAAAGAGGGGGGGGGGGAATAATAACCTCTATGATTATTTTACACTGATATTCTACAGAGTGCTTTGGTTTAGTGCTTAGTCTCTGCTGCCTTCAGCATCCTGCTGCACTCTGAGCAGAGAAGCAGCACTAATTTACTGTCTTAGAAACTATATTCCTACAGTCTTACCTCAAAAACAAGCTCAAAAGTGATCTCGGGTACTTGCTGTAAGTGCATTTCAGTGACAGTGCCCTAGACACTCCTTGCTTGCCTCTTTCCTGCTTGGAGAAGTGCCCAAAAGCCAGTCTTTCCCCCAAAACCCTGAGTGGGAGCAGACAGCCCTCACCAGGGAGAGCTGGGCTCCCTCTGCTCTCCCTGAAGCCTTGGTAAGGATCCAAAAGGCCTCAAAAAGAGGGGGCACACATACCTCTCTGGTTACTGATACAAACCTTCAGTCAAAAGGTTTCTTCAAAATACCTCTGTAATGAACAGGGCGGTCCACTCTGGTGGTGTACTTGACCATCCAGTTCCACCTGATGCTCAGATGCTTTTTTCTCAAGCTCAGACAGTAGTTCTTGACACACAGCAGCTTTCAGGCTGTTCTTTTTGACCCTCTGAATGCTCAAAACCAGAGCAAGTACAGAAATAGCACATGTGAGAGTTGCAAAGATATCCTGAACTCCCCGTCAACTGGTTGGACTTGAACCTTGCAAGACTGCACGTTATAAAGATCTTTTTTTCTTAAATTCACAGCTCCTCTACATTTACAATTTTGTCAAAATTATTATAAAACATTTATTGACAGTAGCAATAAACACAACAAATTTCTGTAAACAGAAATTAAAGCGGAAAATGGCTTTAAGTCATCTTTGACCAGCCAGCTGTACAAATGCTTAAGAAAAGCAGCAGTCAGGGAGGTTGGGTTTGGATGAATCCACGCTGAATTCAGGAGATGTCATGCCTTATTAGATCACCAAAATAAGCTGTTATTGTCTTCAGTTTGTTATTGAGAAAATTTTGTTCTATTTCAACTTTCCCTCCTGGCCCTGCCAAGGAAGCCACCTGAAAAACAAAAGAACAAAAACCAAATCAATCAATGCACCGGACATGAGGCAAAACCCCAAGCCTTTTATTGACATGAAATATAACAAAAAACACATCGTTGGCTCTGGTTAATACTGGTGACATTGTTCCTTGGCACCTAATGCCTCTGGTCTTCTTCCCCTGTCTCCTTTTACTCACAGCAGTGGTTTGTGTCTTTCTTACTTCTGAAAAATCCCCCTCACCCTAAGCCATGAAAATAAAAGGACTTCAGAACTAGAGAGAAATTGTTTCACATGCCATGCTGAGGCAAGAGTTGCTAGACTTTGGTTTGCAGGGCACTTGGCATTTAGGACACCCAGCTGTGGCAAAAGCAAGCTGTAAACTGGGATCGGTAGGTATCAAAAACCCAAGTTTTGGGAGAAGGGTAAAACCAAACACTGAAATTAGGAAGCATACAGATAGCACTGAAGGGGGGCACGGAACTCAAAACCCAAACAGGCAGAGAAGTTAGCAAAAAACAGGTACAGTTTTTTGTTGTTGCTATTGCAAAAAGAAAAATAAAATTAAAAGCTGTTGTGTGCAGCGGCGTCTGAGGCAGCGCTGGGGGCGCGGCTGCTGGCAGCTGAGTAACTGCAGGCAGGGACAGCCCGTCAGGCAGCGTTGGTCCCAGCGCTCATGTCTATGATCACTGGAGTGAGAATTTCACCCTCCATGCTCTGTTGACTGAGCCCGGTGAACACCTTTAACGCTTAATGATTACAGACAATGTTTTGCAGCAGCGGACTTTGAATTTTGGACTGGAGCATGCAATACTCTCTCCTCTCCCCCTCCTCCACATGACGCCTAGTACCACGCCTTGGAGGGACAACAGCCGTACAGGCTACAGATTTCTCAGCAGGGCAGGCTGCACAGAAGGAAGAGAACACCACCAAAATTGAGTGTTGGCTGCTTTTTCCCCTCACCCCAAGGACCCCAAGGACTTGCGCTGCAGTGGGTCCTTGCTCCACAGTCAGTTGTGCTCCATGCTGCTGTTTTCCCTCCTGCTGCCGGAAAACTGTTTCTATAGTTCCCTGGGCAGGGGAACTTCCCTGGCAGACAAAGTGATCAAGGTCTAGAAGCCTGCAGCAGATTTTACTTTAAACCAAGGAGTACATGATGTTAGCTGCTGAAACTTAAAAGTTCAGGTTGTGTTACTAACACTTCTAAAGTCCTTTGAGACTTGACTCTGTAGCACAGTTTTAAACAGAAACATGCTGAACTTCCTCTATTTTACTGTAAGTAAAAAAACCAGCCTGCTATCAAAGAGGAAATAAAAGATTAATCTAAATTATACTTTGAACCTTTACTGACTTGCCTAGAAAATTACCACACTTATCTAAATCAAGCAGCTACTTTTCTGTTTGGTTTACTTTTCTTTCCCTCTCCCTTTTCATTTTTTCGTTTCTGCAGACAAAAACAAAAGCTTGGGGAGTTTCTTTATCCTTCAATTTAATGGTAATAGGAAAAAAATCTCCACGTTCTTGTCAAAGAGGAACCTGTCACTTAAGTAAAAAAACAGAAGCTGTCTGACTTATAAATAGCACAAGAATCTGAAATTGGCAAGTGATCAGGAATGTTAATTTTACAACTTATCTCTCCTTACTGGAAATCCTAAAAGCAGTTAACACTGTGGGGCAATCCCTACTTTTTTCTAGGAAGACATTAAGTTTTTACTTTTAATTTCTTAAGAACAAAAGCTGGATTCTTCCTTCCAAAAAGCGTTAGAGGTTTTGCACTTTATAGTTAGTGTTGTTTAAATATTCTAAAATGTTAATTAGATTAATCAAATTAATATAAGAATATTGAAATTACTATCTCAGGGTTACGTGCTCCTCCTTTCAGGGCACAATTTCTGTCACTAGCATATCTAAGTACGCCCAATGCATTGATATTAAACACAAGTGTTCACTAAATATTTATCTTCGAAGACTAAGTAAAGAAAAACACTTTATCGGCAACACAGGCAAATGCTGGTCCTCCACTGAGGGGTGGCATCCACTGAAGGACACCTGAGAAGTTATATACACTGCATCTAGCTTTCAAGTCTCTTAAGTGTTAAATCCAGGATTTCTCAGACTTAATTTCAAATGACTACCAAAAGTATTAGATAAACCCAATGGTGACAAAAATCTAAGGAGAACACATGGGTGTAAGCTCTGCAGGGACAGATCCAGCACTGCACACTCCTTAACACCCTCCCCCC